GATCAACCGAAGGACTTGTATGCATGCATATAAGCATAACCAATGGATATAAGACACTGGGGGGTAGGGGAGGCCGGGGGATTGTCAAGGGCGGGGGGGAAAAAAGGAGACATATAGACATATGTAATTTTTTATAAAAAAATAAAAATAAATAAAAAAAATAAAAAAGAATTGAATACAAAAAAAAATGTGTATCTTTCTCCATTTTATTTTATTTTATTTTATTATTTTTTTTTATTTTCCATCACCACTTATTCCCTTTATGCTTTCTTCTATCTCTACCTTCCACCCTTTTGCTTCAGATATATTGAATATGCTTTTAAGTTCAGACACAGTTAATACTGTTATATCTTGTATTCATCCTTTTAAGTTTATGAAATGTCCTTCGTTATCTGTGTTAAAAATTAGAATAGTTGTAATGTCTGTTTTGCCCACTATTAATTTAGCTGTAACCTCTTTTCTATGGTATGCATTTGTCTCTCCTATTACTTAGCAATCTTTACTTTTAACATATTTTCAAATACTTTCAACATTAAGGAAACGTGTTTTTTTTTTAAAGTATATTTTTATTGATTTCAGAGAGGAAGAGAGCAGGAGAGATAGAAACATCAATGATGAGAGAAAATCATTGATGGCTGCCTCCTGCATGCCCCAGACTGGGGATCGAGCCACAACCTGGGCATGTGCCCTGACTGGGAATCGAACCGTGACCTCCTGGTCCATAGGTCGACACTCAACCACTGAGCCATGCTGGTTGGGCAAGGAAAAGTTTTGAGAGTGTTATTATGAACTGAATACTTCTTACCTAAATTTACCAATATTTGACATTTTTCCATATTTAGTTTATTAATCCCTCCTTCCTCTTCCTCTCTCTCTCTCTCTCTCTCTCTCTCTCTCTCTCTCTCTCTCTCTTCCTCACTGTGCATATATATATATGAGTGTGAATATAGTATTATAAACCCTTTTGGTTTGTGTTAATTTTGATTAATTGGTTAATATTTCTGTCTTCTCTTTATAGTTATCATTCTTCCTTTTGTCATAAGTAATGTTTGTGTTGGAATATTTTGAGACTGTGTATTTATTCTGTTATCATATGTCCCTCACCTCTCTCCTCCTTATAGTACCATTAATGATTCTTGCCAGAATCAATGTTTTTCTTTAATAATTACTAATTTATGATTTTTGAATATTTGGTATTTGTACTAGCATTCTTTGTTAAGGAGTCCTTCACCCTTTGCTGTCTGTCAATCTATCTATCTATATCCATCACCTATCAGTCATCTATCTATCATTAGATCAGATTCATGGTTTCTTACTTCATTTAGTTGGTTCATTTTTTTACTCTCTTTTTTCATTTTGATGCTCAAATTATCCCACTTCATGCTGGCTCCTGTGCCTTATTGATGCATTCCCATCATGTTTGACATTTCCCTTCTTATCCACGATGTCACTAATTTCTCCAAGGAGCCCAGTTCCTTTTAGTGGTGATTGGTATCTTGAAAATAAAATCTGGACATGTGTCTGTATGTTTAAAACATGTCATTTTTAATCAACAATAGTTGCATATTGATTTTTAATCCAATCTGCCTAATTGGAGTGATTATGCTATCACATTAATGCATTTAGTGATATGCTAGGATTTAAGCCTGTTGTCTTACTTTTGTTTTCTATTTGTCCCATTAATTAAAAAAATTTTTTTAAAAATTTATTTCAGAGAGGAAGGGAGAGGGAGAGAGAGAGAGATAGAAACATCAATGATGAGAGAGAATCATTGATCAGCTGCCTCCTGTACACCCTCCACTGGGAATGGAGTCGGCAACCTGGGCATGTGCCCTGACCTGGAATCCAACAGTGACCTCCTGATTCATAGGTTGATGCTCAACCACGGAGCCACACCAGCCAGGCCCCATGAATTTTTGATCACCTTTTTAAATTTACTTCCTTCTTTTTGGTTAACTGTTTTTGGTATTATGATTATTTCCCCCACTGGCTTATTTGAGTATAACATTTTTATTTATTTATTTATTGTTTATTAGTGTGGTTTCTCTGGGGATTACAGTGTGCATCCTTAACTTACTACAATTTACCTCAAATAATATATCACTTCACATATAACAATCTTACAACAGTATAATGTAATGTATCTTCTTCCTCTTTTGTTATTGTTGGCATATACTTCACTTATATACCTGTTTTTAAACCCTAAAATGTACTTTGAACATTTAATAGCATTTTAAAATTCAAAGAAAAAGGTAGTTCTTTATACTTATCCACATAGTTTCCATTTTCAGGCCTTCTAATTCTTTCCTGCAGATTTAGGTTACTTTTGATATTATTCTCCTTCAGTGTGAAGAACTTATTTTAGCATTTCTTTTAGTGTATACTTTCTGGTATTATATATTTCTTAGCTTTTGTTTGTCTAAAAATTTTTTTCACCTTTGTTTTTAAAAACGTATTTTTTCAAGCTCTAGAATTCTAGGTTGACGGACCCTTTTCCTACACTTTAAAGATGTCATTCCACTGGCTACTTTCATTGTTTCTGAAGAGTAACAAGTTGTCACTCTTATTGTTGTTTCTTTCTCTGAATTATTGTCTTTTTTTCTCTGGTTGCCTTTAAGATTTTCTCTTTATCTTTGCAATTTACAGTTTGTGATGTTCCTATGTGTTGTTTTATTTGCATGAATTCTGTTTGGGGTGTGCTGAATTTCTTAGATCTGTAGGTTGAAATCTTTTATCAGGTTTGGAGAAGATTTTGCTAATATGTCCTTGAGTATGTCTCCTTTCCTTATTCTTCTTCTGTGACTCCTAGCTGCTTGATAAACCATTCAGATTTATCATAACTTGAGTGAACTGAATGTGAGTCTCAGTTTTAATTAGTTTCAATTACTTCTGTTTCTAAATGGCATTGCAGAAGTCTCTTTCTTCCCAAGGCCAACTCTAAAATTCCAAAGCTTCTATCCAGGGCCTTATCTGTGATCTTAACAGGATTTGAGCTGGGCTGGGTTTCAGCTTTAGTTAGTTTTTGCTCTCCTTTGGATTGGTTTCAGTATAGGCCTGGAACCTAAATCCCTTGCAAAATTTGCAAGATTTCTCTTTGATTTCTAGCACTGCCTCCACCATTTCTTATGTAACATCGTTTTTATAGGAAAGAATTGTTGGGTCAGTATGTTTATTTTTGTTTGGGGGCTTTTCCAAGATTCTAATCTGTAATATGAGCCCACACTGTTAAAGGTTGGGCTGATTTCTCTCCATCCCACCAAAGCCTGTCAGCCTATGACTCTTACTCCCTCCTCTATCTGTGCCCAGGTTAGGTTTTGGCCTGAGATATGAAAGTGGCAGGTAGTCTTTGCTCACCTTTCAAGGGCTTGTTCCAGTGTGCAGTTTAGTTCATTTACACATTACACTTTGTTGACATTTAAGGAAAATATAGCTTTTTGCTTAGACCTAGGTTTCTTGTTGATAGTCTTTCTTGTTCTTCTACATCATCTAAAAGTTGAACTTCTGCTAGTTCTTGTTAAAGCATAATAGAGATATGTAATAAGCAAAGGATGCCATGACAGTGATTAATATCGTGGTCACCAGATTATTTTGGGCACCTGTGTTAATCATGATTATAGCAGCCTGTATTTATTCATAGCTCATATTACAATCAATATGATGTAATTATGACTTTAATATGTGGAGGCTGAACAATAAGACCATTTTGTTCATCGTTGTGACCTGAATATTCTAACACAATGCCTAGCACCTTATATTTGTGGAATGAAGTATTTCAATTCAGTAATCATTTTGGAAAGGATGGCGGTGGGCCAGAAAGTATTGGTTAATTAAATATATCCTTATATGGACCCTGTAAAAATATTTTTGTGTATCTCTTTTCCTAACTGATTATGGCTTTTCATTTTATACTCTTATTTGTTTCTAATATTTTTTTCTTTTCAACATAGCATGACAATGTAGCTTGCCTATTATGTATTCAGAATTTTAAGATTTTTAATTCAACTGTAATAAGCCTCTGATTTCCTTCTGCAGAAAGAGAAATCAATGAGATAAAATTTGTGACCATTGTCCACAAGCAATAAATAATTGACAAAGAAATGTTCACACATCTTTATTTACAGTTCTTGATGTGTATAAACAAGTATTATTACAGTAGCAACCTTATTATTGAAGAAATGTTTGTCTCAAAAGGATATCTGTTCTAGAAAGCCATCCTGGGTAATGTTTTCAGGGGTTCATGAAGGATGTATAGGTCTCAAATTTAGTCTGTTGGTTGTAAGACTGTTTTCTTTTGAATTTTGCATATAAAAATAGCTTTGGAATATTTTCTTTGTTTAGTTTTCCTTACTGAATATAAATGTCTTTATTTATTACCCTTGAAATAGTAAGTGGGATTTCAAAACATATACTAGTATGCAGAATTAAACTACTGGCTTGAAACACTTATTTTGGAACCAGAGCAAAATAGAGATGATAATACAGGAGGAGAGATATCCTCTTTATCAGCTAATTGTGTAAGAAGTCTAAAGAGAGATCAGGCTGGAAAATTATAAATATTAATCTGTGAAGGAACTTGCAAGTATAGGAGAAATAATGGTTTTAGGCTGAGGAATCATCCTGGGGAACTTTTTATTCTGAGAGAGAGTACAGCATAGTGTTTAAAGGCTGTGGCCTTTAGAGCTAGACTGCCTGTGTGAAATCTACCCCCCCCCTTTTTTTTTGCTCTGTACTCACTGTGTGACCTTGAGTACTTAATTCCTCTGTGCCTTCATTTTCTCATCTGTAGAGCTAATAATAAAACCACTTCATATGTTTATCGTGAAGATTAAATAAATTTTAAATCATTGAAGTACTTAGAATAATTTCTGGCACACAATAAATGTTATTTGCTGCTTCCATTATTTATTTATTATTATTACGATTGTTATAAGCACCACCTAATTTGTTTGCAATATAATTCTGCTACCTGTTATGACTAACTATTGACATTTCTTTTTCAGCACAACTGAAGTTGATGACATGATTAGAAAATCTACAAACCTGTTGCTGACCAGGACTCTGAGCAACTCTCTGCAGAATGTCATTAAAAGGAAGAATATTGGACTAACTGAGGTAAAGCTGCTCTTAATGGAGGCAGCCAAGGCAATATGTCAACAGATGTCCTAAGCTGTGGGGTTTCTTTCTTTCTTTTTTTTTAAAATTTATCACAACTTTCTATATGGTTCATCATGCTCTTCCAGGTGGACCCCTAATGGTGAAAGTGCAAAATAATTTTCTTGTGTTTTTCTTTGGTCACCCTGGAGAAGTCCATTATTAGTTTTTGAAAGTCACTTTTTCTCTCTCTCTCTCATTGTTTTCACTAGCTTAACTTATTTTCCTTTCTGAAGATGTTGGGTTAAATTTGTATTATTTGCCATTGATTATATAAACAAAATTGTTGGTTGGAGAATATAGTCAATATCAGGATCCTATCCAAATGAGTGGCAGTCCAAATACAACATACAAGATGAGATCATATTTTGCCTGCATAAATCATTGATGCCACAGGTATTGGTACTCATAGTCCTTGGTCAGTGTTAGACTTAGCTTTAATTTGTGAAATACCTCATGTTTATGAATGGTATTTTACTCTTTATCAGCATGTAAGTCTGTGGATTTGGGTGGGGAAATGTGAGAGAAAGGCATTCATCACACTTCTGTGGAAGCTTATGCAGTCTCACAAAGAGAGGAGGGATATTGTACATATGTTGGGGACAGGATCTTGGCAAAATGAAGATTTGGAGCATTGGCATGAAGTCCTAAAATTTAGAAAGATGTGAAGTTTCCTTTCTCTTGGGCCCAGGATTGCATGGGAGCCTCAACCTGCCATTTTATGGAAATTATAGTGCCAAAGTGAGTGCCTGGAGGAATTTTTGTTTTCACAGGGAAAGAAAAAGGCTGTTGACCATCTGTTTTACCTGTAGTGGTAGTGTAGTTAGAAAGGCAGTTGCTCTAGAAAAAATTGACATTTTCAGATATGTACTGTCAGGAATTATAGTGAAAGTTAGTAAATGGTTAATGATACTGACCCACAGGTGAAGACAGCTGGAAGCCAGGTGAACATCTACTTCTGTTTTAAAATTGTTGTTTTTATTCCCTGTGCTTAGATACAAAAATATTATAATGTGGGATATAGGCAGTGATGGAATTCTACTTATAACAAACTTTTTTTTTTTTTTTTTTTTTTTTTTTACAATTGAATGCCACATATGACATTATTTAGGATAGTTTTTTCATTTTGCAGAGATTCCTTTTTATTGTCGGGTATAGAAATAATAAATATTGCTTTTGTGTGTCTGATAATAGGCTAACCTCATAATCAGGTGTACTATAGAATAGGAAAGTTGGGAGTGAATATTAGAAAGTCCGGCTTTTAGTAGACTACACCGACACATTTTCTGAATCCCAAGTAGGACAAGAAGTTTAGCCGAAACCGGTTTGGCTCAGTGGATAGAGCATCGGCCTGCGGACTGAAAGGTCCCAGGTTCGATTCCGGTCAAGGGCATGTACCTGGGTTGCGGGCGCATCCCCAGTAGGAGATGTGCAGGAGGCAGCTGGTCGATGTTCCTCTCTCATCGATGTTTCTAACTCTCTATCTCTCTCTCCCTTCCTCTCTGTAAAAAATCAATAAAATATATTTAAAAAAAAAAAAAAGAAGTTTGTTATTTATTTTGTGAACTATCTCTACATTTTAACTTGACATTCTTCTTATGCCATTTGATTTAGCAGTCTCTTAAAAAGTCATTTTAAACAAGTAGTATAGCAGGAACATATTGTGTTAGAAACAGCTTTGGCTTCAGAAGACTCTTGAGTTTAGTTGTGGCTGTGAAATTAATTTACTGTGACATCTTAAGAGAAAGACCTAAATTCTTACTTCTTTGGTTTTCTTGATTCCATTGTCAAGGGCACTGTTCAGATCAGATAATGATAGGAAGAAGCAGTATGAGCTTATCAAAGAAGTAAATGAAAATTCTTGGCACTATTAAATAAATGCTAAATGTTATTCCTAAGTCATTAGATTTCTTTAGTCAAATATACTTTCTTTTTTTAAAATAATATATTTTATTGATTTCAGAAAGGGGAAAGAGATAGCAACATCAATGATGAGAGAGAATCGTTGATTGACTGCCTCTTGAGTGCCCCCACCTGGGAATCAAGCCCACTACCCAGGCATGTGCCCTGACCAGGAATCAAATTGTGACCTCCTGGTTCATGGGTTGACACTCAACCACAGAGCCACACCAGCTGGACTAGGCAAATATACTTTTATTATCAGTATCTTTGCATATGAATGAAGGAATGAATATCCACAGGCATTTATTTTGGAGGTTATGGTGGTGTGTACATGTATAGACACACACCTGGTGATTTTTTTCATCACCAACCAATAAATCCTGGAATAACTATACTACCTTTGGAAAGAGAAGATGTTATGTCTTGCATTGTTGTTAACTAAAGTGAATTCACATCTGGAATTGTCATTATAAGGCAACATTTGTGGAATAATTTGTATTCTTCAAAGTCTATTCACAAATACCATCTCATTTAGCACAATAACATCTGAAGCAGTCTGGGTATGTGTTATTTCCCTTTTTATAGAAGACTAGAGGCCTGGTGCATGAAATTCGTGCACAAGTAGGATCCCTAGGCCTGGCTGGCGATCAGGGCCAATCTATGGGGTGACCGGTGGGGTGATCAGGGCCCCTGCTCACACCCGCCTTGGCCTGGTGCCGCCTGCTCACCTGCTCCACCATCCCACCACGGTCCCACTCTTGTTGGGGCCCATTGGGGTGGCAGCGCCTCCACTGCTGCCCTCTGCCAGTGCTGCCTCGCAGACGCCTGCCATGTTCCATGCTACCCCCTGGTGGTCAGCGCACGTCTAACTCCCGATCAGTCAAACTCCTGCCCGTGGGGACAATTTGCAAATTAGCCTTTTATTATATAGGATATATCATTAAATTTCAAGGAGATTGCCTAAGGTCATATGGCTAGCAAAATGATAGAAAAGAGGCTTAAGTCCAGGTTGTTTTTCTCCCAAATGTATTAACTTTTACTATGTGTACTACCCTTCACAGTGACTTAATTATTTCATCATAACATGATAGAGAGTTTTACATGAGGTCCATAGTAATGTGGAAATATTTCTTATTAGAGTTGGTTTTGTGACAGGTGGAGCTGAACTTTCTATCCCTTGTGTGTAAGCTGTGTTTAGTTACTTCCTAAAAATAGACTATGGAAGGAGGAAACAAGTTACTTTACAGTAAAGAAACATGACAAACTACCTCACTCAGGTGATCAAGGTTATCATCATCAGAGATAAGTTGTGTTGTTATGATGTGATGAGAAGGCACTTCACCTTTGTGGTATTTCTTCTCAAACCTCAGTCTAACCAAAAGAAAAACATTAAATAAGCCAAAATTGAAGGACATTCTAGAAAATACCTGACTAGTATTCTTCAAAACTGTTAGGGTTATTAAAAACAATGAAAGTCTCAGAAACTGTCACAGACCAGAGGAACTAAGGAGACATTTCAACTAAATGTAATGTGGACTCTTAGATGGAATCCTGAAAAAGGTTAAGAACATTAGTGGAAATCAGACAAAATTGGAATAAAGTGTGTTGTTCAGTTAGTAGTAAAGTACAAATGTTGGTTCCTTTAGTTGTGGCAAATGTAGCATAGTAAATGTAAGATGTTAACAATAGGGGGAACTGGGTGTGGAGTATTTGGGAACTCTTTGCAACCATTTTGTAAATATAAAACTATTCTAAATGAAGTGTTTATTTAAATTAAAGAGTGAGAGAGAGATTGAAGATAGGAAGTATAAGACAACTCTTTGAGGGAATTTTGTTACATAGGTAAGCAAGGAAATAAGGTTATATCCAGTAGGGGGAGTGGGTTAAGCAAAAATGTGTGTGTGTGTGTGTGTTTAATAGAAGTAATACCATGTTATTTCTGATGAGAACGTACAATAGAAAGCAAAAGTTGATGTAGGAGAAAGGGGGAACTCTCTGGAGCAATGTGAGTAGGAAAGAGTTTTGGAATCTAGTGCAATGAAAGGGATTGGCTTTAGTTGGTGTAAACTTCACCTCTGGTAACATATGAGCATCAGAGTATGTGGATGCAGATGGTGGTGGTTGGGGATATATTTTGGTGGTAGGCTCTAAAAACTTCAAAAACTTTCCTGCAGTGGCCTACAGGGCCCCGCATAATTGATTCCTCACCTCCCTCCCCCCTGGCATCTGTGTCCCTCTCCGTTAAGTTTGCTCTGCCCCATCACTCTGGCTTCCCTTTACTTTACCTGAATGTAAAGCTTGAAAGTAAGTGTTGGGGTTGAAGGAGAGAGAAAAAATCTCTGGGTGTATGGAAAAGAGAATTGATTTGCTCTTGATTATGTCATTATTTTGTAGCATTAAATGCCCATTAGTGGATATGAATTAAAGTGAGACTGGCCAGCATGGTTATACACTTTCTTAAGCTATAGTTAACTGGAGATGAAACTAGTAAGTCCATATCAATAATAGCCTTCAGGAATTTGGTATATATTATGCTCAATACTTTATTATTTATATTAGTATTTATATTTAATTATAATGTATTTATTACTTCTTTGGTCTCACATTGATGTTATAACTTCAATTTTAAGATGATAAAAGATAATAACTTTGCCTAAATCTAGACAGCCAATAATTAGTTTAGAAATAAGGTTTGAGGTAGGTTTTGAAATATATTTTCTTTTCAAAATAAGATTTGAACCCTAGCCTGTTTGGCTCAGTGGATAGAGCATTGGCCTGTGGACTGAAGGGTCACAGGTTCAATTTTGGTCAAAGGGCACATGCCCAGGTTGCAGGCTCGATCCCCAGTAGGAGACATGCAGGAGGCAGCCGATTGATGATTCTCTCTTATGATTGATGTTTCTACCTCTCTCTCCCTCTCCCTTCCTCTCTGAAATCAATAAAAATATATTAAAAATAAATAAATAAGATTTGAAATGAGTTTGAAAATAATACTTTTTCTGGACTTTTGCTCTTTCATGACGCTAATTTAAAACCATCAATATTATAGAGAGAAAGTAAATAACTACTAGCTTATGAATCACAGAATATCATTGAATTAGTTAAGTTTGGAAGAAAGTTTTAAGATGAATCAAAGGACACCCTACTTATTTGTGGAGAATATATTGATAGAAAGGTTTAAGGTAAGAATTGGATTGAAAAGAACTTATTTATTATAGATAATAGACATATTTCACCTTCACTTTAGGCCCCTATTCAAATATTTCCTTAAGGAGGCCTTCCTTGACCACCCTGCCTCAAAAAAGGTCAGACCTGCCATCACCATGTAACTTCTTATTCTCACTTCTATTCCCAGTGCCTGACATTATACTATGAGTTTATGTGTATATATGTTTACTGTAATGCCCATGAGGTCAGGGACTTTGTTTTGTGTATAATTTTGTACAGCTGTATCCCAATTACTTGGCACATAGGAGTTCTTAGTTGATGAAAGATAGAAGAAAGAAAAGCAAAAGAAAATAGGTAGGTAGGTTTTTAGAGTAAAATTAGAGAAATTCAGAGTTTCTATTAGTGATTATTTCATATTATTTATATTTTTATGATTAAAATAGTGCCCAGGAGACCTGAATAAATGACCAGTGCTTTGCATTTACCCTTTGTTTTTAATATAATTTAGAATGCTCACATGGCTCTAGCCTTTGTTATTTATCTCCCACACACCATTTGTCTCCAACCCCTGTGGTTAAATAGCAATGATATTGCTAATATTATGTTAAAATATTTTATACTGAAATTTTGTCAAATATAAGCTTTGTACTAGACCACTGAATTTGGAACCAGTAGTTCCAAGTATTTTAGGTATTTTCCTTGGAGATGTTATAAAATCAGCAGTTAACATTCCTTTTTGTACTCTTGCAGGGGTGAAATGGAGATAAAAATTCCTTGAAGTCTTAGGGATCATGTTTTTGTGAGTGAGAATCAAGGCTGCTATTTAGTTCTTTATCTTCTTGCAAATATAGCAGTTGAGAAGCACTGGTGGTGTGGGGAGCAGTGTGACTTCTTATTTACTGGCTTTGGTTTCATCCTTTTGGAGAGAATTTCCCAATTCTCTGCTGTGGGAAATAAGATAATATCAATTTTAATATAGGTAGATGTAAACACCCCAGAAGTAGTTTGTAACTGGGGATAGAAATTTGTTCTTGGAATTTAGTGCTTAGTTTTGAGCTATTGAAGATGATGAAGTCATTTTCTTTTCTTGAGTTTGTCAAGAATATGATGAACATCTATCTGTCATCATGGTTCAGGCTCTGCTGGGGTGTTTCATCAGAGTTGGAGAAGTGACTCCCACAGTCTACTCTGCCCTTACTCACTTGATTCTCTGTGATACTGGGAGAGACAGAAACATGTTCTGCTTCTTAATGATTTTTTAACCAAAGCGACTTTGGTCATTTAATTGTGAGAGGTGGTTGTTTGCAATATAGTGTTTTCTTTTTTTGGACAATTCTCATAGAACTTTGCTTTATATAAGACATAACTAATATCTAATCTGTTGTTAGTTCCACGTCGTTGGAGCAATATTAAGGACAGTTTAGATTGCTGCAGTGTATATTTTTGTAATAGAGTGGGAAGTAGGGGTTAAAAATACCAAAGGAGCTCAAACTCTGATGGAAGTTGATATCTGAAATTGCTTCGTTTCATCCTTACGTTCAAAATTACCCCAAAGCATCTGGCTTCACATTCGTAATAAATGCCCTTGTAAGGATTTTGGTTAGCTGTCATTCAGGAGAAGAGACACTTAGACCTCATTAACAGACAATATTCCCTTTGAAAATGACATGGTATCTACTGTAATCCTAGAGTGTTTTAATAGTCTATTCTATGCTCAGCAATGAAACATTTCAGAAGTGACTGACAGCCAATTGATGTAATTCATGGTGATCTTTTGTGTTGACAGATCTTTAAAAAGTCATGGGAAATTACTACTGTACCCAGTGAAGCCGCCTCCTTTTTTTTTTTTAACTGACAATATCCTGCAAAACAGGACAATTTTCTCTTTGACTGCCACTGTTTTTTATTTCGATAACATGACACGATTTCTCCTTATTATTAGGATTATTTTTGATAGGTAGAATATGTTCTCGATAGGTAATGCTGACTTTAAAATAGAAATTCTTCAGTTCTCCAAATTAACTCGTACTTTTCTGACTTCCACATCAAGACAACCTTGCTAATAGCCACTTTCGCACTCAGGAAAAAGAATGATTTAATTTAGACTATTAAAATCTTGAAAACTGATTTTAGTCCTCCTCAGAGGGAAAAACATGATGAAAGGGAAAGGATGACAAATTGCTATTTAGGTGTATGTTTTTTCTAGAGCACTCCAAAGTTAAAAGGCTGATGTTTGGGGTAATTTTATAGGAGGTCATATCTGTGTCTAAAACTAAAAGTCTCTAAATTCAAGCCATGGAATGAGTGGAAAGGGCCTAATGATGAATGTGAACTTGTCTGATGAGTTGTGGGGAGTAATACAGAGATCTAGTCCCAATGTTGCCCTAACTTTTCATCTTCGTTGGAACTGCATCTCTGAGTCTTTGCTCTTCGTCATTATGTTAAAAAATAGCTGTTTTTCTCAGATCGTCCAGCTTATCCTTAGGGGAGTAGAAGGTATCTTTTCCCTCAGTCCAATCTGTTACTAAAGCATTGTCATTATATTTTTTGAGAAAAAACTATGTGCTGTGTGCTGTTGAGGAGGTAAGGATGTACTACATGATTATAGTTCTATTCATATTTTTGTTTGATATTTCACAGAAATATCATTTGACTGTAAAAAGGTTTAATACCTCTCTTCATCTTTAGTTCTAATTTCCCCTTTGTGTCATCTACCTCCTCTCGCCCCAGCTCACTATCTCACTAGACTAAAAGAAGGACCAAGTTCATCTGTTGGCTGATACACCAACACTCCCCCTACTTTCCACAACCCTGCCACCAGAAAATAGTCTTATGAAAATGAAAAGTTAAAGATGTAGCCCTGGCTGGTTTGGCTCGGTGGTTGTAGTGTTGGGCTATGCAGTGATGGCGAACCTATGACACGCGTGTCAGAGGTGACATGCGAACTCATTTTTTTGGTTGATTTTTCTTTGTTAAATGGCATTTAAATATATAAAATAAATATCAAAAATAAAAATCTTTGTTTTACTATGGTTGCAAATATAAAAAAATTTCTATATGTGACACGGCACCAGAGTTAAGTTAGGGTTTTTCAAAATGCTGACACACCGAGCTCAAAAGGTTTGCCATCACTGGCCTATAGACTGAAGGGTCCCGGGTTCTGTTATGGTCAATGGCACATACCTTGGTTGCAGACTCACTGGCCCTGGTCAGGGTGCGTACAAGGGACAACCAATCTATATATCTCTTTCACATCAATATTTTTCTCTCTCTCTTGTCTTTCCCCCTTCTTTCCATTCTCTCTAAATATCAATGGGAAAAATATCCTTTGGTGAGGATTACAAAAATATATATATATATCCTTTGGTGATGATTACAAAAAAAAAAGTTAAAGATGTAGAAGAGAGAGATACACAAAAAAGTTCCATTCTAATTTCTTTTTGTATTTTTTAAAATTTCTTTTAGATTCTGGGGACTATGAATAGTTTTCATAGTTGAAATAAGTAGTAGTTACTTCTCCTTTTTATGGTATTTTTTTTTTGCATAGAGTAGACTCAAACCATGGAGAGTTCTAGTTGGTGGAAGACCCAGAGTTTACTTCAGCCTACTGTACTGACCATGCAGCATACCAGGGCTAGGGCTGCCAGCTGTGCTCTGCTTAAAGGCACTGTCAGAAGTCATGTAGATGAGTTCATTTGAGTCATATATCCATTTAGTTATATGATCTAGAGAAAATAATTTTAGTTTTGTTATAGTAAAATGGAACTAATAATTATTCCTGCTTAATTTATTTCTGTAGGTTGCTGGAAAGACAATGTAAGAAAATGAATTGCAAAGTGTTTTACAAACATTAATTCTGTGTAGATAATAATAGTGATTCTTCCTTATTCTCCCCTCAAAGTAATTAATAGATTACTTTAATCTTACCAGCACTGTCTCCTTTAAGGATTTTTTCTATAAGAAAAGAGAAATAGTATTAACTAAAGAATATGAAATTTTCACAATAACTCTGTGAGTTAGAAGTTATTATTAACATTTTACAGGTAAAAACACAGACTTAGAGAAGTTAAGAAGTGTTCTCAAGATCAAGAATTTGTACATTGTTAATTCTGTGGTTTCTCTGATTTCAGTGTCCGTGTTTTTTCTTCCATAGACTAATATAGTTTAATGTAATGCAATCTAGTCCAACATCTCTCTGTTCATCATACCTAATTTGAAAACTTTTTCTTGCCATTTCAATTATTCTTGTTCTTTTAGTGGAGTTTACTTATTTAATTTATTTGGCTGTTATTTAAGCTAGGCATTATGCTAAACACTATTAGTTTTTTTTCTCTTAGTCTAGTCTTTTTTAAACAGAAGAAAACATGTGTTTAAAATAGAGTGTCAAGAGCTCCTACAGATAGTGGGGGAATACAAGATGTTCTTGGTAAGCAGAGAAAGCTTCATAGATGACGTAGTACCCCTGCTTTAAAATGCCTTTTGTAGAATGCAGATGACCTCTGCCATTATGCCTTTTGTTTTTCTTGTACCAGCAGATTCATATTGAGCCATTCATCCTAGGGTAAATAGTCAAATGATTCATGCATGTGCTTGCTATTTTCCAGCTTGTCCAGATTATTATCAATACAACACACTTGGAGAAATCCTGTAAGTACTTGGAAGAATTCATCACAAATATCACCAATGTGCTTCCAGAGACAGTCCATACCAGCAAGCTGTATGGCACCACGACTTTTAAGGTGAGAGGCCCTGCAGTAGGCAGGCATAGTCCGGGCTATTCTACCTAGCATGGCTTTGTTTCTTCCAGGTTGCATAGCAGTATGCTATCCTTTTATCCCCTTTCCCTATTTATTGGTACCTTGCCTTGAGAGTAGATTTAAGAGAAGAAATCAAATTTGATTTCCATTGCTTATTAAATTTTATGAAAGATAAAAATTGTTGGAATATCTTCTCTTTTTCTGTTATAAGAAAAAAAAAAAAGAGGAACATCCTGAATTGCCAAAGCAATCTTGAGAAAGAAAGCAGGAGGCATCATGCTTTCTGATTTCAAATTATATTACAAAGCTATAGTAATCAAAACAGTATGGTATTGGCATAAAAATAGACACACAGTCAATGGAACAAAATAGAGAGCCCAGAACTAAACCCACGCATATAAGGTCAATTAATTTTCAACAAAGGAGCCAAGACTTTAAGATGGGGAGAGGGCAGTATCTTAAAAAAAAATGGTGTTGGCAAAATGGGATAGTCACATGCAAAAGGATGAAACTGCACCCCTATCTTATACCATATACAAAAATCAGCTTAAAATAGATTAGAGAGACTTGAATGTAAGGCTGAAACTAGGAAAGTAAGAGAAAAAAACATAGCAAGTAAGCTCCTTGATACTGGTTGTAGCAGTAATTTTCCATTTGACACCAAAAGCAAAAGTAAAGCAACAAAAGCAAAGATAGACAGGTGGGACTCCATCAAGCTAAAAAGCTTCTGTATAGTAAAGGAAATCATCAATAATATGAAAAAGCAACTGATGAAAAGGGAGAGAATATTTGTAATTCATATATCTGATAATGGGTTAATATCCAAAATATATAAAGGACTTTTACCACTCAGTAGTGAAAAAATTCAAACAACTCCATTAAAATATGGGCAGAGGAACTGAATAAACATTTTTCTAAAGAAGACATAGAAATGGCCAACAGGTAATTGAAAAAGCTGTTCAACATCACTAGTCATCAACTGATATGCAATGAAACACCAATGAGATATCACTCACACCTGTTAGAATGGGTGTCATCAAAATAAAGAGGTAACAAATGCTGACAAGCATGTGGAGAAAACCCTTGCATACTATTGGTGGGACTTTTACCTGGTACAGCTACTATGGAAAACAGTATGGAAATTTCTCAAGAAATTAAAAATAGTACTATCATATGATCCCATGATCTCACTTCTGGGTGTATATTCAAAGAAATCAAAAACATCTTCGAGAGATATCTATACTTCCATTTTCACTGCAGAATTATTTGCGATAGCTAAGACATGGAAACAACCTAAGTGTCCATCAACAGATGAGTGGATAAAGAAAATGTGGTGCATGTATACAAAGAAATATTATTCAGCCATGAAAAATGAGGAAAACCTGCCACTGTGACAACATAGATGAACCTTGAGGCATTATGCTAAGTAAATAAGCCAGACAGAGAATGACAAATACTGCATGGTATCACTTATATGTGGAATCTTTTTCAAAAAAGTCAAACTCATAGACACAGAGAATAGAAAAGTTGTTGCCAGGGACTGAGAGAAGTAGAAATTGGTAAAAGGGTACAAAATTTCAGCTATAAGATGAATGAGGTTTGAGGATAAAATGTGGTGAATATAGTTGATAATACTGTATTGTATAACTAAAATTTGATGAGAATAAAATATAAATGTTTTTATTAAATAAACTATGTGAGGAGATGAATGTATTGACTAACTAGATGTGGGTATTCTTTCACAATATAAACCTACTAGAGGCCCAATGCACGAAATTTGTGCAAGGAGCTTGGCCCTCGCAGCCCCAGCTGCCTAGAGGCCCTGTGGCCCTGCCCACTGGTCATTCTGTAAGGTCATTGCGGAAGGTCGTTGTGGAAGGTCGTTCTGCCGTCTGGTCTAATTAGCATATTAGCTCTTTTATTACTATACTAGAAGCCTAGTGTGAGAAATCGTGTGGCCCCGCCCACTTACGCGCACCCCTCTGCGCTCACAGCCCCACCCACCTGTGCTGGTCTTTGGTCATTACAGTGTTAGGGCCACAGGCCTTTTATAATATAGACTAGAGGCCCGGTGCATGAAATTCGTGCATGGGGTGGGGGGTCCCCTCAGCCCATCCTGCACCCTTTTCCAATCTGGGACCCCTTGGGGGATGTCCGACTGCCGGACATTCCTCTCACAACCTGGGACCACTGGCTCCTAACTGCTAACCTGCCTGCCTGCCTGATCACCCCTAACTGCCCCCCATGCTGGTCTGGTCACCCCCAACTGCCCCCCCTGCCAGCCTAGTTGCCCCCAACTGCCCCCCCCTGCTGGCTGGGGCCGCTGGAACTGCCCCCCCCCCCCGCTGTGGCCACCCCTTTATACCTGGCCGCGGTGGTGTTGGTGGTAGAAGTGGTGGTGGTTGTCCAGGTATTTTGCCCCGAATGCGCGGCCTTCGGGGCTGGGCGGGTCCTGGAAATGGTGCATGCGGTTTACGACCGGCTGAGGTTGATTTCAGAGGCGGTTATGAAACGAATGGTAGGAATGCTTTGG